GATGCCTTACCTTATTAGTAAAAGTTGGAAAATAATTGGATGATACAAAATATCTGTTTACACTTTCATTTAATAAACAATTATGGCGAAATATGGAATTGTATCTTGAAGATATTATTGACACCTTCTTCAGCATGACAAACGCCATTTTGAATATAAAATTTTTAACAAGATCCAAACGAAAGTAGATAATGTTGTATTTTCCGCTATAGTTACCGTAAAACCTGAAAAACTTTTTTTCATAAAGGATTATGGAGTATAATTTTTTTTTATATATAATAATATAATAATTTTTATACAAATATAAAAAAGGAAAACTAAAAAGAAGATAACAAAAATAAAAAATAAAGAACGCAAAACCCGAACAAGACCATTAACTTTTTAGATGGTGAAAGGTAATTGAACCAGAAACAACACGGATTTTTTTGAAATAAAAATCATGTGCCGCCAGGTTGACAGAGAAGATTTAATGATGATTGACGAAGAAGATTGAAATCATGATGACAAGTTATGCATCAAAACATTTGTATTGCACGTCAAAACATTTAAGTTGTCGGAGTTTGGTTTTAGCGGTTTTCGGTGAAGAAACTCAAAGAAGAACACAAGACCTTGTGTTCTTCTTTGAGTTTCTTTACCTTCCGCTAAAACCAAACTCCGACAACTTAAATGTTTTGACGTGCAATTCAAATTTTTTGATGCATAACTTGTGTTCTTCTTTGAGTTTCTTCACCGAAAACCGCTAAAACCAAACTCCGACAACTTAAATGTTTTGACGTGCAATACAAATGTATTGATGCATAACTTGTCATCATCATTTCAATCTTCTTTGTCAATCATCATTGGATCTTCTCTGTCAAATTGGCGGCACATGATTTTTATTTCAAAAAAATCCGTGTTGGTTCTGGTTCAATTATCTTTCACCATCTAAAAAGTTAATTCAAAGCCATTATCGGGCACGCTGTCAGCAACATCAAGTTTTGTTAAGCATTTAAAGGTAATTTTAAAATTTAGTATTAGTTGAAATTAATTTACCTTATCTATTATGAACAATATACAATGAATTATCAACAAACAAGTATATAATGTTGTTTTAAAGACAAGACAGTACAAGTTAATATAAATCGAGATATGCAATAATTACTTACAGCAAATTAAAAACTTATTTTTTAAGAGGATTTATGTTTACTTTATAGAACTCGCACAGGAACCGCTTTGGAACTATTAAGCACATAAGGCAGATGTTCAGAGAAAACGTAAGCTAGGCAAGGCTGGTGTAGGAAGAACGGCTGATGAAGGCCCAGCTAATAAGAAGTTCAAACAAATTACTTACCATGAAGCAACATCGGAACTTTCACCACGACATCGTATTATATCGCAAGAAGAAGCTGAATATTTAATTATGGATTATATTACTGAAAAGATGAGTCCTTTGCCTACGGTTGAAAAACCAGCTTTTCGTCGACTGCTTCGTGGGTTTAATCCTATCATAAGTATTAGGGTGTCCCAAAAATAAAGTTTTTTTACGCAATCAAAAGGCATGGTATATATCCTGGTTATATACCTTGATTAAAAGATAACCACAAATTTGAGATCTCTTAACATACGGGAAATGCTAGGTGTAGATTTTCATTTTTTAATAAATATCCAATTTTCAACCCATTTTCAATAAATCTGGAAAAGATTGACAAAAATTAACAAACAAAAAATTGTATATTTCTTAGATCTCACAAGTTGTTTAAATCCTTCTTCAGCATTCGCTTGTCAACCAACTTCCTGTTGTCCTTAGCCACCAGCATAATGGGTTGTCTCTGACTTTCAATGTGACTATCTGCCAAGAATTCTTTAACTAGACGGATATTTCTCTCTGCGTAATCGTTTATACATTGGATATTTGAAACAAATTCCTTGAAAAACTTGAAACTGAGCTGAAGGTCCATAAATGTGTCATCAGAAACCCTAGACAATACATCTACTTTTCTGAGATTCAGGAAAAAAATCAGGTATAAGCTGTTTTTCCCAACCAACTCAGCTGAGTAATCTTGTCAATGATAACGTCGTTTCTAATATCTGGTTTCTTAATATCAAAGTAAGAAATATCCTCTGGATAGAGGTATTTCAAAAGTTCCTGGATCATTAATGCTTTTTCCTCATCATCTACATTTAAATCAGCAAGTGACACAATAACGACAACTTCTGCCAAGTACCATGTATGTCTAAGAAAAAATTCTTAAGACTTCTACCTAAAATTTCATTGTATTCTACGCTTCTACGCTTTCAGCAACTTTAATAACCTTAAGATTATTAGAAGGTGCCTGTAATATGATTGATGTCTTGAGAAACCAAGGAATATAAAATATAGCAACATAAGGTGCCACTTTATTAACTTCTTCTCTCTTCTCCTCTGTCATCAACGTAAGTGTTTTGTTGGTGAGCTCAAGCATCAGTAAATATATCATATCTGCCATAAACCTAGCTTCATGGCAAGCAGGGAGCTGGTGCAGTCAGAAGTCTGAAACTTCATTACTTAAGTAAAATGAACCTAACTCACACAGTCTTCTGTAGTCTATTCTGTCCTTAAAAAAAGTATTCTTGATGATTGCATTTCCCAAGAAATCCTTGGCCTCCTGTGCAGTCTGATGCATGAACGAGTCAGCTTGAAAAATGTTCCAATCAAATTTGTTTAAAGAGTTAGTATCTTCATTGCACACTTTAAAATTTTCTATGCACACTTTAAAATTGTCTGGCCAATTTTTTTTAAACTTTGCATAAGGTCTTTCCTCGGTGCTTTAGTCTTTCCAGTCAATGATTGCACAAAATGAAATATGTGTCTCTCATATATGTGCCTGCGGCATAATAGCTATATAATATGTTTTCCAACAACATATTTGCTGATAAGTTGAATTGCCCTATTATGAGCACCAGTATTTGAAGCTGTTGTATCTGCACAAACGGCAAATATGTTTCAAAATATTCCAATGCATTCTTTATTTCTTCTGTCTGTTCTTTTCCTTTTGAAGAATTGGTTTCAAAAACCTCTAACAAGATGTCATTGCTATTATCATCTTCAGGAACTATTACACTTACTGTAATCCTTTCCTTTTTTACAGTAATATTATTTTCATAATCCATTTTTTTGCACAATTTGCTGCCAAAGTATAGGACAAGTTTTTTACCAATTAAAACATTCTTGTTGCCAGCTCTAATTTCATCTCCCTTGTTCTTGATTGCCTCAAATCTTTTCCTATGGGTACCAGATTTTGAAAGAACAATGTCTTCCATGTCGTGCCCAGCATGCCTTAGAATGGAAGGTAATAAAGCTGTGTGATCCCTAACACCATACATACATACATACATACATACATACATACATACATACATACATACATACATACATACATACATACATACATACATACATACATACATACATACATACATACATACATACATACATACATACATACATACATACATACATACATAGCTACCTCACTGGTAGCTTTTATTAATCCATCCGCTGATATAGACAGCTGTAGCTCATCTTTTCTCTTTTTCCCAGTTAATGGTCAAGGCTCTTCAAGATCTTTGTTAGTTGATGCATCAAAAGATACTTCTTGAGATGAAATTGACTGAGAGGACAAAGATTCGGTTTCTGATTCAGAGACATCAACCTTTTCTAAATTAATTGTATCTTCTGTGTGTTTTTCAAGGTTTCTGCTCTATTTCTGTTTCTATCTACCCTCCTTTGATAGATCATGTCAATCTCTAAGGTAATAACCATTTTTCTTATGGGCTTCTGGTTTTCATAGAATTCAATGTCTTCCGGAATTGCCTCAGCTGTCCTTGTCCGGTCTCCTCTAATTTTTGACACAAAATTTTTACAGCTTATGTCAAACAGCTCATTTGTCATGTCAATAAAGTCCTTTTGTAGATCATTTAGATTTTGACTAGCACTGAATGTTAACCTAAAATTAAACAAATTAAAGGAGGGAAAAAAATTTGTTCAAAACTCTAATATGTAATTTACTTTTAATATTTACATATTTTAACACAAATCTGTTTTGGGGTGGTCCTTCCTAAGTTAAGATCTAAGATCTAAAAATGTATAATATGTATCTAAAATAGCTTGTAGTAATTAAATTACTTCTTACTTTTTATAGTCGATCTGCTTTCTCCATTTTTTGTTAAGTCTCTTATTTTTATTCCTCTCATTAGGAAGTCATTGTGAAAAACCCCAGACATTTACTACTTCTTTGACAAGACACTCTCTAGTTGTACCCTTACAGTCTGTACTAGGAACTTGACATGTAAGCTGGTTGGAACTCGTCTGCAGAGGACAACAAATATTAAACTTAGTTAACTTGAACCTCAGCTGCTTTGAGGATATAATATTACAGTATCTTCTAATTATATCTCCATTTGTGGGTAATTGTGACTTGGGAAGCTCTTTTATGGGCCTGTCTAAAACATACAGAGATCTCCATGGGTTCTCTACTAAGCTATATACTCGTTTCAGCACTTCTTTATCAAAATTCTTTTTTTTTCCTTTTCCCCGTCCTCTCTTTTTTTTTCTCTGAAAAATAAATAAAAATTACTTTTAGGATATGTTATTGCATATTATTAACTACAATAGTTTAGGTTTATTATGATTTACAGTTTAACATTTTCATATGTTTCACACAATATACTTTGCATACTTGTTATCGTTAAAATGATATATTTGTACCAAAGCGCTTTTGCCGCGACTTTCTGTGAAAATATTCAAACAATTAGTAAAGACGATGATCTTCTCTTCTCCACAATACATTGTAATCTTCTAACAATACTTTTTATATTTGAAAACATTGTTATGTATAACTTAAACATTGACGAAATGTTTACTTTACACAAAAAATCATGAAAAATAATAATATTCGGTATTTTTCAGTTTTTACACTTAGTACTTCTAAGGGTCTTTCAATCCTCAAATTTCGTAAAATTACTTATTTTGTCATAAATAACCAGGAAATTATCCATTTTCAATTTTTTTTTTTGGGACACCCTAGTAAGTATTACATTTCTCAAAACTCTTTACAAATATTTAAATTCAAAGCTCTCTAGAATGCATAAAAAATAAAAAGCAAACTGAAAAAAGCATCGTTTGTACGCACTACTACTAATATCTG